TGTGTGTTGTTATCCGAGATTCTCTGTGTTGTAGCTCATTGCTAACACTTGATAACGCTCATTGCAAATGTTCTAGCAGCACTCCCTTCGGTTAGCACTGTTAGCATTGTTAGCTGCAAACCTGTTGCCATGGGAAGTCAACAGCTATGATCTGAATTTTGAAATATGCCCCCTTAAAGCATCATAAACACAAAGCAGGGTTTTGAACCACCGCTATGATGCATCAACATTAGGTCTCAAAACCCATCGCTTCTTTTGATGGTTTTATATTCAAGAAACCAATAATAAAATGCCTCAAACCCGCATTCATTCCTTGTTTGCTGAGTGACGTCTGATTGTTTTTGTCAATGAGAAAATGCTGCTTGATTTATTATTTAAGTAAACACGGCAGGCATGTGTTTATCAGCTGAATCAAATGTTTCAGGTGTTCTTCAATACAGCAAATTGTAAATTAGTAAATTATCGTTCCATTTAGAGTAAAATAGAGGACAACGGATGGCAGGCTTCAGGGCGGGGCTGCTTTGTGATTGGCAGGTGGCTGCCAAGGTTTTGTAGATTCATAGATTTGGCCATGATTTTAATTTTACAACTTCAACCCTTTCACAGTGTGTTTCAGTTAATTGTTATTTTCAAAAAATGACCCTTTTGACGTTTGGCTCCTCCTCTCAGGTTATTTCTGGTTTGCAAAATATCAACACGGCCTGAATGCCAAATACAAGGATTCAAAACAGTATTTGACCTGTTTTGCAAGCAAAATAAATCAACAAATGTGGATCCTCACGTACAAATGAGATTATCGACGCAGCTGACCGAAGACTCACCAAGGAGAGCATCTCACATGCACACAGAATGTAAAAGAGGAATTAGTCTTTGGCCGTCGGTGCAGCAGTTAATTTTGATCTGTGAGTCATGGAGACATCATTTATTAATTGGAAGCATCTCCGTGCTTTCACTCTTTCTGCTTGTATAGGAATCTACTTGCTATTCGGTCTGTTTTTTTCTCAGTTTAACGTGTAATTATATGATTTTTACAATGAATAGTAAGTGGAATTTATGGACTAATTTTCTTTTGTTAGATCTCGGAGGAATTTATTGGAGGATAAAAACACATATATAAATATTTGACTTGTTCAATCTGTACTCTTTTTCTGAAATGTATCTTTCATCGCCTTTGTCTTTCACATAACAGCCACACAAACTCATCAGATCATCAGTACATAAATACCTACATGAAATACCTACTAAAATGATGTGAATTGAATATTTAATTTAACAAATATTATAGGCATCAGGTGTGCAGTAAGTCTTGCTGGAAGAAATCCAACTTCCAACCGATGTGTGGTGCCTGCACATGTGTGTGTGAGAAAGGAAATGACAGTAAGAAATAGGAAGCCAGCAAGCTGTACATTTTACTGGTGGCTAAAACAAACCAAACAAACTAGTTGGCTTATGTCAAAACAAACGTGTCCTTTCTGTACTAGAGAAAAGAAAAAATTGAACATATCTGACTCTTTGCAGATAACGAGCTATTCTGGCATTGCGTGTTTCAAAACTCCAGCGCGCTGCAAGCTCAGATCGTCCATCACCCAAAATAATTATCACGTTTCCCAGTCTGAATGTTACACCGTCAAGGAGTCCCCTTAAGGGAGGGAACCTCCGCAGCGGCTGCCACACCTGTTACTTTCCAGTTGAAGTAGACAGGTCAGACAGCCCCCCCTCCTGTTAGTTTTTGTCTTTCTGAGTTCTGATGATTAGCAGTGGAGCGTGACGTGAAAAACAACTGCAATCAGTTGCACATTAATACCGATTCTCAGTCACCTAGAAGGAGGACTCACACTGTTAATGTGCTTAATTCGATGATGTAAAAAAGACAGAATAATATGAAAGTCATATACTCACGGTCATTGAAACACTTTCTTTCTGTGCTAATTAATAATGATTGTGGGTTCTGTGATCTGATTACACTGCATCCTGAGGGGTTCTATTGTGTTTTATCTGTTGAACATAGCAGATAGCAGCACAGATGCCCCAGGGACTGGAGGAAGTACCAACAGTACACTTTGCTTACCTTATGATGGCTTTGTTCAGCAGTAGCAACACAGCCGCTAAATATTTGCACCTCAGGGTTTTCATTCATATTCTTGGTGTGTTTAGAAAGTATTTTGAACTCCCAATGAAATGATGATCGAAGACATACAGAAAATCACTCACGTGGCCACACGTGTAACATATCATCACATAACATATCTATTATGCTAATCTACAACAATATGCTAATCGGGACTAATCTTGCTGCAATCATTGTCATTATTATTATATGAAAAAAAACATTTTTTCGAGTATCCTTGAAGTATCAAGAAATTAAACCGAGGACTTTAACATAATGTTGGACAACATTATCTTAAAAGAGAGAGAGATTAGATGTCGTGGCTCTCGTCTGCTGAATATCTGTTTAGTTGTTCGGTTGTTCGGCAAGGAGACATTGCTGGGTAAAATGAGATAATTATATATAGTGGGACTCAAAACAAAAAAGATATTTCCAAAAAATGACATTGAAAAAAACAAATTCAAAAAGGTGAAGTAAACTTCTCAACAAATTCAAACCTGAATACAAAAGATTTCCCTCTCTACAAACCAGCTCGTGGAAGTTCACAAATAATCCGCACCTTCAGCCATCAATGCACAAATCAATCGATACAAAAACACGCACACATTAACACGCACACGCCAAATCCGTTACCTGCAGGGTTCCTTGGTTTCCAGCGGTGCCGTCGGATGGATGGAGCGGGAAAAGCCAAAGTACATCCTTTGCAGCAGTGTTGACTTTGTTAAGCCTAAAAACCAACGTGGACGTGAACCACAGTGGCGCCTAACGAGCGAACGAACGAATGACTAAAGGAGGCGAGTGCGTCGCTGCCTGAAGTTGGAACCGCGTGCAGCTGAGCCGCGTGCCAGGAGCTCTCCGCGGTGCTGAAAAGAAAAAGAAGGAAATCACGCAAACTACAACGACGAGCCTGCGCGAATACCTGGAGTTCGGATCCCGCTGACAAGTGGAACCAAATTCACATTTCCGAAGCAAATGTAACCGACGCCCACTTCATAGTGCCGATGGGGGAGAAGGAGGGAGGAGAGGGGGGGGGGATTCACGATTTTGAGCATCAACTCTGAAGAAATATGAGCGTAAAGACCAATCTAGAATAACAATGTGACGTTTGTGAGCCTGATAGGTTGCAGATTATCGGCTATTGTCAGTGTTTGGACGCAAACTTGAAATTCTACCTGTTACTCGAGGAGGCGCTGCAAAAAAATCTTCAGTTACCGGCAATATTCAAATAAATATATACGTTGTTTGGACGAGCCATCAACAAATCCTAGGACGGTTTGGACACCTGAACAAAGGCGCGGTTGCTCAACAGTCCTGGAGATGTTCTGGTTCATCGCACATGAACATTATGTAATTTAAAGCATAGTGGGAAAGAATTCCTTCAGCCGCTTTGTTCCGGTTTGTAAACTGTAGAATCGGTTAAGAGTCGCTCCCTTTATATGTCCAGGCGGTCAGGAGGGGGCTACACTACATTACATTGAATATTCTTCAGAGACCTCTCATCTTCAACGACGGACATTTTTTCCTTTGGGAACCGCAAACAAGTTGTGACACGGCACGGAGGAGTGGGGGGTCAGTCCCAGATGGCACGGCGATGCGCGCAGGGGACGCACGCGCTTTTCGAGGGGCGGCTGCATGTGACCCTTCCTCCACTGCCGAGAGCAGCTTCAGACACGCAATGGTTGAGCATCTTCATGTGTCATCTCCCCCCCTTTCCACGTGCAATGTGACGATATTAATAATTAACATCATGGGAAGGCAATAGTCTAATGTCTAGCTGCACCCCGTGGGTTTCAAAACGAATCAAATCAGCTGTTGACCCACGTGTCATCGCAAGTGTCTTCCAGGCTTGATGTTCCTTCTCGCCTTTGGACAAGGGCTGTGAACAGACCTGTGGTGAGGGCACGTTTGCCCATTGAGGGATCACACATCTATAAGTACAGTCAACGATCTCATGGTCTGATCACAACACAGACTTTTCTTATCCAACGAAGAGTAAAATGCGTTGTTTCAATAATAATAATTAAACATAATTAAATCTCAAATTGAAAAGTACAACATAAAGAGCTATCAATGTTTGTGTTATTTTCTAAAGTTTGTAATAGACCTCAAATCTATAATTGAATACATATGTGCTCATGGGACATGTGTGGGATAAACCTTTATTGTGCTGGCCTGAGCAGAAGCATGGAGGACTTTTTCTCTGTTGATGGTGTATAAACCAGTGAAATTATTGTGCATACTACGGTTGAATAGAAATATTTGTATTTATAGGTCACGATGCTCATTAACGACCACTGGCTGTGTGTCCATCAAACATCAATAATGGGTTGGAGCCTATTCTTCCTCCTCAGCTGCCCTCACAGTTGAATAAATACACTGCGACACAAATGCCAAACGTCTCATTCAGATGCTGATTAGAATAACCCAGTTCCTGCTGGTAAGGGCAATTTGGAAACCATTTTGCAATACTCTATTAGGAGTTTTTGTGCTTTCCATATTTGTATTATTCCGTTGCTTATTATTTGAATTGCACCAGGGGAAATTGCTCCCTCCGGAAAATACTAAAAAGTCTACGCTTAACCTTCTGAACTCAAAGATAAATAACGCTATCATTGGCTCCATCTCGAAAGTTTCTCTTTTACTCAGCTTTTGGATTCCATGGACTTGCCTTTCCACGGAAGCCAGCGGCCAGAAACGTCATTACAATGTAAAACCATGAAGGTGCTTAAGAGAGAACACTAAAATCTCTCAGTTGGGATACAGACGTATTGTCCTCATAATAGAGCAGTAATGAAGTTGCTTTGCTAAAAATGTAACCTTCATTTTAAGTGTCAATAAAGGCAATTGCATAAATAAGGTTTATGATTTATGACAAAATATAAGCACAACTTCCTCCTGTCAACTTTACTTTTATTGAAAATTTTAATACAGACAGAAAGACACAACCATCAATCCAACCAATCAACAAGTTCAACCTACAAATAAAGCACTAGCCTCTGGAAGAGAACGAATTTTGGCAACAAAAACATCTGTAGCGTGGTTCAACAAACCAACTATAGAAAAGAACGTTACATTAAAAAACTAAAGCATTATCTGAGCACAGCGAGACAATAAAACCCTATACACAACACTATCCAGGGGGAATAGTTTACACCTTTCAATTGCATTTTAAATTATACTCCTTGGAAACCCAGGTGAAGTTACTTTACTGGTGTTGGTGCACGTTTATTCTCCCTCTGAGTTTTCCCCTGTGTGATATACATTGTCCCAATTGGCAAAAAATAACACACTTATATGGGTCCAGCGATATGTCTTCGGCATTCTGCTGCACATTTTCAACCCATCATTACTGTATATAAATACACCAAAACGTTAGGTAGAAATCCTCAAAGATGACCTTGAAAGTGGGGTATCTATCTGGCGTCACTGACCATCTATTGAAGTATTTCTTGAACTGAAGTATAACGCCTAAATTAAGAGAGCGGGAGTTTACGCAGGATTACAATTTGAAATTAAATATGGAGTTGAACAAAGCTTGCCTCTCCTTTGCTGCAAACCATGTGAAGAGAAAACTAGGTGTACTCAAGAATACTTGACCAAATGGGTTTGTTTTCCTATCCTGACAGAGTTTAAATATAGGATCGGGAATTATTTAAAAAAAATGAGAAATGAGATTAGACGATAAACAAAACATGCAGGCTTCAAAAAGAGAACTAAAAGGCGCAGAAATACGGTGTGGGGTCACGGCATGAACAGCTTTAGATCAACCAACGAGATTACATGACAGATAACCAGCGACACCTGAGATACTCTCTTGCATGCCAGTGTTACACGGACTCATCTCTTATCTCTTCCACCCTACTCCTCTCCACCCCCCACGGGCTCCTTCTTCTCAGCCACCAGTTCAACAGCTTCTCGAGCTGCGTCTTCCCCCTCGGGCACCTCCGCCTCGTCTCCATCTCCCTCCTCCTCCTCCCCCCTCTCTTCTCCCGGCTCCTGCTCCTCCTGATCCATGTCAAGCTCTTCAAAGGACGAGCCGCTGCCTATGGACCCGTTCGAGCCTCTCTCGCTGCTGTCCCTGTGCTTAATGTCTTCATTGGCGTCCATTACGTCCCTCAGAGGCAGGGAAGATGCCAGGGAGGCGGCTGTGGAAGCAGCCAGGGACGTCTCTCTGCTGTCCCAGGGCACGCCCCCGCTGACTGAACTCACGTCGCTGTGGGAGTCTGCACCTGAGGCAGCGTGGGGGAAAAAACGACATGAAGCAGGATGTGTGAGCGTGCAAAAAAACAAAGAAACGTTACAGGCAAGCAAAAGTCAATAAGAGTGGACTACAGATGTGCTGATTTATTATAGGCCAATAATATTTATTGCACAATTCATTGCACAAGAGAACAATGAAAAATAAAGTTTTAATACCCTAGAACGGTTATGTTACCTCGTAAATGTCAAACCAACTTTAGAGACAGGATTAGACAGATTACCGTAAACCAAATTGTTGAAAAAATTCACATTTTTAGCCGATAAAGGCAGTAATTAAAAGCCAAAGTGATTACACTATACGGTCTGGGACAACAGTTGTAATTATTTAAATATCATATATTTTACACAAAACAATACCGTGGTTGTGTTAGAGGAATGATCATGGGAGTCACCCTCTAAAAAATAAAATGCGTTTTGTAATAAATCTATTACATAAAATCCATCCACAAGTTGTTGAGATGCTTCACAAAAAAGCAGCCAACCTAATCGTGGATAAATTGAAGTATGGACAGATGCACAAATATGATTAAATACAATCAAAGGTTAATAGTCACCAACATTTAAATTATGCCGTGTACCAACCTGACCCTAGATGATGCAAAGGTCTAAAGATGTGTGTTTAAGCCTTCTCTTTCTCTGCCATTCTTTGATCAAAGCTGAACATATTAACATTTCTGAATACTTAAATGAATCTTTAGCCACTTCAAATTCCTCAGATGGATATCTTCAAGTTACTTAATCGTAACGATACAAAACCCCGCTGCCCTCAACTTGAACCTGGTGATTAGAGTCAGGAGTCTGTGTGCCAGCTGAGCTCAGAGAAACACGATTAATATTGTTGAAAAGAGAAAAGATCTTTCTTACAACTCAAAGACGGGTCCTAGTCACGGGAGCAACATTGCTTGGATTATTAAGAAATAAAAGATTCTTTTCTTCTTTGCTGCTGCCGTCTGCAGCAAATAACACGTGAAATAATCATAAACAACGTAATTTCAGCCTAAACATGATCAATGACTCTCTGTTACTAAATTGTAAGCCTACTCTACTTCTTAGACACTTAGATGTATTCTAGAAGGTATTTGGTGTGATGTTGTATGCTGAATGTATTACTTTTACTTTATAGTTAGACAATTTTGCTTTAAACTTATTTTTTATATGACTTAGTTCATCGTCTTGGTTTGGAATGAACGGCATCTATATAGTGTTCCACAAATAAAATATAATGTAACCAGAGTTGATTCGACTCTCCCACAGGACACAAACACCCGGACGTCCGAACCATTTTCCTGCTGCATTCACACTCCAAATGAATCTCATCCACACATCAACATGTGTGTTTGCACTGAATGTGTCATCTGGGACCCAAAGACAATAAACAGGGAGTCTCCAAGCCCCGAGCTAAGGTCAGACTTTCCTTTTATTCCAATATCAACAACACCCTGCAATCTAATTATCACATTCAGCAGATCTGATCCTGTCAGCAGTGAAGAATATCATAAAATAATAAACTTATGATGTCCATTTATAGGCCCGTTGATTAGCGAGCAGGTCCAAACTAAACCAATGGGAATGGTTGTCAGTGCATCCGGCCTGGTGAGAACGTCCTGCCACTGACAGGTGTTGCATTAAAATCCATACAGTGTGGATGGAATGTAGTTAGTGATTTATCATTTATAATTCATTCCTATTTTGTAGTCAAAAGGACTTTTCCAGAGGGACTCATTTTACAATACATCATTTTATGGGAAATAATGGGTCTATTTAGGGTATTTTTCGTGGACAGGCCCCCAAGGAAAAGCCTCAACACGCTGGACAACTTTCTCCAACTGCAAGCCAGTGCTGAAATTGGTACCCTGGTTGAAGCCAGCTGCGCCTCCGACAGTCTTTTAGATAAGATTTGCCTAAATTAGTTGCTAAATTGGGCCCACTGGGATTATTAGCAGCGAATCAAGGTCTTGTTCTTCGTACCGTTTGGAACAAAGGACAGACATTTTAAGGAGTGTAATTAGAGATGGACAGCGCTGAGGCATGCTGAGAGTTTGGAGAGAGTTTGGAGTGGAAGGAAGAAGCAGCATGACGGTAAAGAGGATACATAGAAGCTAAAGAGGTTGTTATGCTTAGCTTTTGTGTTCTATTTTGTTGTCTCTAATGTCAATTTCATATTTTTTATATTTCTGTTGTTTATTTGCACATCTTTGTACGATTGAGAGCAACGTGTAACCGGAGACAAATTCTATGCATGTGTCAACATACATGGAAAGTATGTAAAGCAGATTCCGATTCTGATTCTGATTACAGATTTGAGTTGATGGCAAGAAACACTAAACAGGTTTATTGTAAATCCGCAATTGTATCATTAAAAAAAGGACATTTGTATCCATCCTCATTAGCAAAAACTATAACAATTTGATGTTATTAAAAGGGAACCAGGCAAACGTCAAACAAACAGGAGATAATGTTTGGTTTGCACGCTGCAGCCTTTCCTTACGTTTCAGTAATCAGTCAGACAAACGTACCAAACCAAAAACACAACCTGCTGGTGGTAAATTTGGTATTTGGGTTTGTTTCAAGAATCCATTTGAGAGGTTTCCCATTCACACATATCGGATCTGTCTGCCTGCTGCTATCTTTGCTACCAGAGGTTTATATCTTCTATGTGCACGCATTAAGCAGACTTTCTAATACTTCATGTCATAATTTATTCTGTTTATTGCACTTTATTGAATTCTGTTTTCCCTCTAAAGGGCCAAATTAAGTATCTCGAGCAGTGTAGAAGTGTAGATGTTTTTTTTATATAAGGATGGAAACACCCTTCAAGTTAGTTTAATCAATCTTATACCACAATTCTCACACATTCGAGTAGCACATTATTAAACGGTAGTCTGATTGCAAACAACAAAAACATTAGGTATACCAATTCCAAAGTAGTTGAACAAGCCTGTACCTAAGCTGTGGCTTTCTGTGATGAAGATACAATTCGTTAGAGGCATAAATGCTATAAAAATGAAGCTCATTTGCCTGTTAAACACTGGTTTGTGTCCTTAAAAGATTAATAACTCACAGCACAAACAGTGGCTACTGTGATTGACAGATTATCATTAAATTGTTTTTTTGCTCTCGGTGTGCAGAGAAAGTGTAAACGTGACAAATGTTGGGACACAAGGTGAGTTCATGGCCGAGGATTTCTATAACGCGGGTACTTGAGATGAGAAATGAAAAGTCAAAGGTAATCTCTGGGTGCCGGAGCAGGATTTCCACCGCTGGCTTGCCAGACAAGGCTTAGATGCACTGATTGATCCGTCTCTCATTAAGAAAGTTCAGCTGTATCTGGGAACATAAACACACTCACAGTCTCCATTTCAGAGAGACTTTGCTCAGACATCGCAGCCATGGAGTAACACAGTGGCTGAGCAAGAACGACAGCTTCTTCAGATTTGAAGATATTCAACAAAAGTTAATTCAATTTCACAAGACGTTACTGGAAACTTACGTATATATTATATTTAGTGTATTAATGTTTCTGTACCAATAACACAGTAGCTGCTGCTGCGAACAGTGAAGACGCCCCGGTGTTTCAAACGGAACAGAAACTTTTAGTTTAGTTTTAGTTAAACTTTTAGAGTTTAAAGCACACGAGGACGGCTTTTGTAGCCAATCTTCTACGTTGTTATTCCAATGGCTTCAGTTTATCTCAAGCGCCTCTTTTTTTAAATGACCACTACTTGGTTCTATATGATGAGCAAGACTGGGCTTCACCATTAGATTATTGAGAAAAGATACAGTGTTTTCTTTTATCTGTCTCACAGTTAAAGGACAATTCTGCAGACTTACTACAGTTCCACCTTTATATGTATACGTATAGAGAGAGAAAATAGATATTTCTCCGCCATAATCTTTTTACTGGGTTGTCCTTTGTCTAGTAAGGGATTTGAGAAATCATAACTTAATTCACTTTATTGACTAAATGTTTGTGTTTTATGCTAGTTATCAGTGATTTGGGATATTTTCATGTGTAGAAGAAACCAAAGCGAACATCCCCTCATGTCTCTTTCCGGGAGTTTTTTTGTGCTTTCTCCCATGTCAGGTCTCCGTAGATCGTGGTTCCTTCGGGACCCTGGTCCTGACACCTACCGTGGCCATGCCTGCTGCTGCCATCATCATCATCATCATTATTATTTTAGATATTAATCATATTACTGTACTTGTAAACCAACATTACCCTCTCCTTAAGTCTCTGTGCTCTCCCTCCCCACAGGATTCTGTGGATGGTGGTTCTATGTGATGGTGGTTGCCTCTGCAGTGGTCCTGCTGTGCGCCTGGCTTACTACTCACAATTACTTGAATCATTTCTGTCATAGGAATTGCATGTATTATACATTGTTCATTCTGTACACATGGCATCCATTGTAGTCTGTCCATCCCGGGAGTGGGATCCCTCCTCCGACGTTCTCCCTAAGGTTTCTTCCCTTTTTTTCCCTCTTGGAAGGGTTTTTTCATTTTTTGGGGAGTTTTTCCTGTGCCGATGGTGGGTTTCGGGACAGAGGATGTTGTATGTGTACAGACTGTAAAGCCCTCTGAGGCAAATTTGTAATTTGCGATTATGGGCTATACAAAATAAAATGAATTTAATTGAATTGTTTGACCAACCACTGCTTAATCCTCATGTTATACCCTTTCTGGAAAGCTTTCCTTTCAAAATAAAAAGAATGTCACATTCTGGCGATGCTGACAAACCAATCTATAGTTGTAAATAGCCTTGACTGTTGCCGTCCGAATAAAGGCTCTCAGGCGTTGCCTCTTTGCATCGATGGCGACCCCAATCTAAACACGACAAAGGCCAGTGAACATGTCCAGATCATGTCTTCTGATAAGCCTTGCGCATTTAAACTGCGATTACAAGGGATGCGGCATGTTCTAAGCTCAGTATGATAGCACCTGATGCCAATCAGCGCCTCTCCAGCCACTCGGCCCCACTGAACCAACACCACTTTCTTTCCTGTGATTTGTTAGATATCGACACTGTCACGGATTCTGCCTTCAGGTCCAGAAAGTTAAAAAGAGCAACGGGGGCAGAGAAGATATTGTGCTTGACACTAATCTCCAGTGAAGAGTTATAGAGTCCCATTTGTTACGTGTACTCTGTGATCCAGGGTGCTTTTCTTTTAGTGTCTTTTAGTGGAATTATGATTTTGGGGAAAGTTTTTTATCTCGATTTTTTTCTTAATGAGGACTAAACAGTACCAACAGTGTAGTTGGAAATAGTTGGACTCAGCGCATGTAGACTGTGCATAAGTCTGCCATTGGCGCTTATCTTACACAGCATTCTTCTCCGCTTTCGCAATAAGCAGTATTTTGCTTGTTTAATAATAAACAAGCGGAAGCCCCCCCCCCCCCTCATACCAGAATGATAATGTGTGGAGTCAGATGTTTCTTTAGCGCTGACACAGCGCTGGGGAGATCAGGCTACAAGAAACTAGGATGTATGAACAAAGTAGAAACTACCTGTGATGTCAGTGCCTCTGTCCTCGTCGGAGTCCTCTTCTTTAACATCTGTTTTAACCTCCTCCTTCATCTCCGGAACAAAGAAGTCTGTCTGGCGAGACAGTGGAACCATGTAGTTGATGACATCTGAACCACAGATCTCGATAGTTGGGAACGCACAGAGCTTCCTCTCCTGTGAAGGAAAAAGACAAATTGGATGTATAACATTGAGGTATTGTTACACAGTTTGTAGTCTGTAGTAGGGCCAACAGAAACATAAGGAGATTAAAGCCTAAATATCAGCTTCAGTTTGCACAACAACCATTCACCATCTCAGTGAATATTACACAGTGCATGGATTGGAAAGAGAAAGATTCAAACATAATTCAAATAAATGCACTCATGGAACGTCCTGTCATCCAGCTCAGTGAACTGCTTCACACGCACACTCAATAATATGGACATGACTGTGATGCAAATTTTCTCAGACAAGCGGAAGTATCAGGCATGTGTAGCTTTAAAATCTCTTCACTTTGCTGACCGTACACTGTTTCTTTTTTTTGGCCACATTAATATGAAAATTTGCAGCCATGCGAGTCCATTAAAGTTGCATTAGCATCCACGTCTATGTGTCTACACTTGCACCTTACTGTGGAGTGTGCAGAAAGTGAAGAGTTTATAAATACAGGTTACTTTCTGATGATATTCTCTTCGATGGGCCGTCAGAGGAGGTCTGGGGGAGCTGCACAGGCCGATCTCCGCTAAGATCAACCCCAAAGTGACAGGTGAAGGATTTAGTGAGAGATACTCCCAAACGGCTTGATAGATTTAAGTCAAGTAGTGCACGTCCCACTAAATCTAGTTGAAACACAAACATGTATGTACTATGTACATGTATGTAGTTTCTCCACGTTTCCATTCTCTTTAACAAATACTGTACTTGCTCTAATACTTTTTGTAAAGAAATTAAAATGAAGTAAAAAGACCAAAGCTGCTCCTGGACACATTTATTTGCCTTCCTAAACAGCCCTTATGTTGCACTTCTCTGTGTTTGGGATCTTCTGTGGGGTTTCACAACATATATTTATGTTTACAGATAGATCACATCCTACGCCGCAATATAGCTCCCTTCATGTATGCTCTTGTGGACCGCCCCTCTCCACGTGACTCGTCTCTATATTAGAGTGAATGTAACGACTTGCTGGGTTTGCCATGGTTTTACAACAAATATGTCTATTCTGGGCAATTACGAGAAGGCCAAAGAAACATGTTGGACGGTCTTACGGCAGTCAGTCAACTGACTCCTTTCGCTCTGGTTCAGGGTGATCGAGGCTGACTGACTGGTTTTAATTTAATCCTCTGCACAATGAGACTGTGGGAGACGGCATGAATCACCTGGCTCCAACAACCGGGGGGCTTCAGCCCCAGAGCTGCCCATGCAAATGAGTACCCATCTCCTTGAACCTGCTCCGATAATGAGCCGGGAAACAAAGACCGCTCACTGTCACTCACACAAACGCACACGCGTCTCTAAGGGATACAGACAAGAGAAAGAAAACACTTTATTGTTCAGAACTATCACATTTAACTGCAGGTTTACCACCACGTGCTATATCAGGTTATTTTACTGATTAAAACACCATCGGCCATGGAGAAGGGAACCTTCCTGAAATCCTCCCACACAGTGTTTTTTGTGATATAGGACACGTTTTTTTATTGTGTTGACGGGGAAAAAAACTAAGAACTATCGTGGTGCCCTTTTAAGGTACGTTCGTAGCTCTTATTCGGAGTAGGAACGCTCCCAGCACAACGTAAGAGTTCTGTGATTTGTTGAACCCGTTTGCCAATGCAACACCGACAACAAGAGTACAAAAAAAAAGACCAAAACAACGACAAATGGTGAGTAAATTAATGGGAGAAAATGAGGAAGGACAAACCAATGAAGTCCAGAGGTTTACTTATTTATGAGTGCACACCAACTGATCCAAAGAACGAGTCAATTAATATTAATATTTTATATTTTTCATGAATATATAGATTGGTGTACGTGTTTTTTCCTATTCCTATTGATGTGTAATTGTCTTTGGTTTTTCCAGCATGGTAGCTGACAAGAGCTGACTTTTTTTTATTTTGATAAATTAGAATCCCATCCCATTCTCACGTACCGACTTAAGCCTTTTTTTAACGAACATCAATGTTTTTTTTAAAAGGCGTTCCTTCCTGCAGGTATCCCCCAAGGCTACATTTTGTTTATCAGTATTTCAGTTCCACCTCCTTTTGATATCCAGAGAGTTTCCATTTGATGAATTTCAAAGAACTCAGCACATATTTGGTGGTAAATGGCTTCAAAACAGACATTTCTATGTATTTTCTTCCACGCTACATATGTGTTTAGAACCAGTGCCACTGTTGCAAAAATGAATACAAACCCTAAACATAAAAACATACAACCACACAACTTTAATTTAGCCTTTTTTTCAGAAAGGTTTTTTGGGTTTTTTTAATGACTGTTAGAGTATTTAAAGGCAAATTTGTGCCATATAAAATACTTAATACACAAATACATACATATAAAAATATAATGAAGATAAGATGGATAAGTTACAGTCTCACAGTGTGTCCAAACAATTGACTGGTACTTTACATTTAAGCAAGCTAAGCTAACATTGTCAACATTTAAGTGTCACATTGTGCGAGAAGAGATGTAGATCGGTTTCCCCTAAACTAAATTAAACCAAGACAAGAATGACACACTGCGACCTTCTTGAGATACAGAATTATCTTTAAAATTGGTAAACAATTGGTAAAAGGAATCAAAAAAATGTTTTGATAATTGTACTTTTTCTTCTCCTTCAAAATAAGGTCCCGTGGGGGATGACAGAAGGGCCGTGACGTAACGTGTCATTTATTATTACTAAATTAAATATAATAACACTGGTTGTGTTTGTAATCAAGGTCATTAGCATGACTTGCTCCATAGACATATATCCTCCATGTTATACACAGTTATCCTTAATTGACTATTATTTAATTAGTTTTCACTGCCTTATTTGAAAGCCCCCCAAAAAGAAAAGACACAACTTAACAGTAAACATAATTAGTAAACAATGTTAAGCTAATTAAAGCAGACCCCACCTTTAAAGTGCACATTTCACTGCCCAGTCATCTATATTTCCTCCCACTAGGGAAATTAATTAAGAAATTCAAGGTAGATTAATTGTCCCCATCATAATAAAAAATCCCTCTCGGCATGCATGTTTTAATCATACGACAAGCAAGATGTTCCTTTTCCTCCCGGTGCCCTTCTCTGGCCCGAGCCTCCGTGTCTACAGTCTCATTTGGTGTCATCTATTTCCCTGTAGCCCGTCATGGAGTCAACAAGCATCCACTTAACCAGCGCCTGTGTCCTGGAGCTGCCCGGTTTGAATGAAATGTGCTTTCCCGCAGGAAACGAAGGTCTAAACGGTCTAAAAACAGATCAGTCAGTCGACGCTGCCACCTCAGAAGAGACAGTTAGTCTCTCATCACTGATCCGTCATCCAGCAACGAATCAGCGAGGGACAACCAGTTGCTATCAGCACCACTAAACTGCACACCATTACCTGTTTCCTAAATGATGCGTATAGTGGTTCTGCAAAATGGGTCACTTTAAGTCCAGGCTCTCTCTGTTATCCAACCTCGCTTTTAATAATGAATGGCCTTGCTGCACTCAAGTGTTTTGTCTATTAAACATGTCTCATTTAAATTGGTGGAGATTAAGTAATAGATGGAGAATAACATACCCTGTTTCTAAAGAAATATATTTATTAATTCTATTTCCATCATACAAACCCCAATGCTTTTCATTTGAAGATAATATTTCCAAAGTACAGTGTTGCACCAGTAAAAAAAAAAAAAGAACATCATATATATGTGCAATCAAGTGCTAAAAGGTATATGGGTTTCAATTTCAACCAAAACACCCGAAGTCATTGTCATAACAGCCTCTGACATCGTAGGAAGTCTAAATCTAATTAGAAAAATCAGAGAGTGTAGTTTGGTTTCTGGGCCTCTCCAAGCACCATTTGTTGTACATTTATGTCTTCAGTATTCTTTGGGTTAGACGAGCAGTTTGACAAAATGAAGGTGATAAATTGTGCAGTAGAGAGACATAACTGTCTGTTAGACTCTCATATAACAGACACAAGGACACACGTCAAAGCAGTTATGCTCTAATGCCCTTGACCAAGAAACTGAATCTCTTGCAACAACAGGGTCCGACGCTTTAGTTGATCTTTTAAATTAAGTGGAAGATACATACAGTCATTTCCCCCAAAATCAATGAAAGCATCACATCTTGTACTATTATCGCTCACCAAGGTGCCTCAAAGGAACACTGTTGTCTACTTGTAATTACAACAATCAAAAGAAGCTTCATCTTCCTTACAAATCTTTTCATTTAGGTGACAGAACCCAAACAGCCTGTTCACAGATGCAGCCACATGAAACCGCACCAATTAACTTTTAGAGAGAGAAGGGGAAGAAATTAGTGCAACTACAGGCACTTTAGGTAATTGTGATCATTCAATGATGATATAACCAGGAATTATTATTAATAATCTGGAAAAAACAGAGATTAATCTCTAAGAAATCTCTGAGAAAAGAAGATAGAAATAGAAAAACATAGATAACAACACTCCTGAAGCTTGATTTACTGCATCCCTAAAAACATGGCCACGGAGTAACTGAACCGTAAGTACAGCAGAGAAGCTCAATAGTAACTCAATGTTGTATTGGAGCCTTTCATATATGAAATGTAATCAGTCCTCTCCGATCTAATGATTCATACTGACGCAAACAGTCTTCCACCTCCAGATGTGGCTTGAAAGAGACAACACCAAGCATCACCTTTCCAAAGATTTGTGCCATTTCTTCATACTTCTTTTAATGTCTCATCTGTCTACTCCATTTCTTTTCAGCCCAGTGGCTCCTTTAGCGGATCACCAGAAAAAATAGCAACAAATATCAAGAGGTCTGAATGAAATAGTGTTTTTGGAGATGCACAGTGTTTGTCTTAGGGAAGGTTAAAACTTAAACGGTGTTTACTGACAGATGAATGTGATGACACAGATGACAATGTACCCATGATCCTTCTTGCACTAGTCTATTGTGTTCAGTCACATTATTTTTGGTTGCTATTGTTTCATCTCATTT